GTATATTGTGGAAAGACAAAGCTGGACAATAAATAGATAGAGGCTGGACTGTGGAGGGTAATGAATGCCATACTAAGAAATTTGGATGTGATTCTATAAGCAGAAGGGTTTTAGGCAGGAGAGTGGAATACTCATAGTTATGCCTTAATTCTCAGCAAGGAAAGGGTGGTCTGAAAGAAGAGACTGTAGGCAGAAAACTCAGTGAGGAGGCTATGTCTATACTGTTGCCCGTATGTAACATGTCCTTACCTAGGCTGACAGCAGACAGATGGAAAGGGGGAGCTGGATGAGAGAAATAGCGAAGCGGTAAAGGCCACACATTTTGGCCAAGTCCACCAAGAGACACTATAGCAAAATAAGAAATATAAAGTTGTACTTGGTACATTTTTCACAGAGTGAAATTCTTTAGCAACATACCTGAAAAACAGATAATCGCATGATTTGTCCCACATACAGTCATCGTAGCTTACCACCCAGAAATCACACGCTATGCAACGCAGATGGTCACACACTCTGTTCAGAGAAAAAGAACTGTACATTAAAGATTATTGGTATGTTTAATTATAAAAATGTGATTTATTCATAGGATATTACACATTACATATGTACATATTACATATTACTGAGAAAACCACCGAAAAGTAAAGATTAATCTGACCATACATTTTTATACTAAAGGGCTGATTACATATCTGAACTTTTAGGTTAAATTTCTGCACAAACCCATTTTACTAAGATCTTACACATTGATATATACACGAGGTCGGACAGTCAAGTTTGCGAAATCATCCTAGAAAAAGTGTACATACCTCATTCCTGAATATCACTATGGTCACCTTCGAGGTACTCCCCTTGGGAAGCTATGCACCCACTCCAGCACCTAGTCTACCTTTCAAAGCAATTTTGGAGCTCTTTTTCTGGAATGGCCATCAAAGTTGTTGTTATATTACCCTTGATGTCCTGAATGTCATCAAAATATCTTCCTTTCAATATTTCCTTTATCTTCAGGTAAAGAAAGAAGTTACTGGGGGCCAGATCAGGTGAGTAGGGAGGTTGTTCCAATATAGTTATTTGTTTACTGGCTAAAAACTACCTCACAAACAGTGCCATGTGAGCTGGTGCATTGTTGTGATGCAAGAGCCATGAATTGTTGGCGAAAAGTTCAGGTTGTCTAACTTTTTCACGCAGCCTTTTCAGCACTTCCAAATAGTAAAGTTGGTTAACTGTTTGTCCAG